TTAGGTGGAAGGGGATTCGCAGAATCGAGAGTTCACTGTATGCTTCAAGTGGTTTAAAGCGTGCCGCGTATTTTGATATGCACAATTTTTTCGGTTCAAATTTTGTAAAAATAATTCTAGTTGAAATATATTTAAAATGAATATTGAAAATAAGAACCTTTTCAAAAATTCGGGACAATCCGGGACAAAAAACCTGAATCCGGGACAAATATTGCTTCTAGAAAAATCCGGGACGCAAGGTGCAAATCCGGGACTGTCCCGGCCAATTCGGGACGTATGGTCACCTTATTAATAGGGACTTTCAAGCCATGATACACGGCGCGTGGAGCGTGGATAGACATTCCACGCACCCGCCGCCGCCGTGAAAAGAAGTTAAAGAACCCGTCACACGAAGCATGGATTGACAGGGGCTTTAGAAATAGAGCACGTAGAAAAGAAAGATTTTAAAGTACCTACTTATACACAGTTTGGAGTCTTTAAAGATTTTTAAATCGTATTCAGTTTGTAGTAACCGACTATTATGTAATCAATTAAAAACGTACCACTCATAACCATTCTAAATGAGCGGTTTTCATATGAGTAAAGATTCCTATTTCTTTAAGGACCTTGTTTCTACTAATTCTCGTTGAAATCGTTAATCTAGTACTTATCCGTCGATGTCTTTCCGTTTTTGTATCAAAAGCAACACAATTCTGGGAAAATTTACTGCTGGATGCCATTTGTTCATTATTTGCAAATGAGAATCTATTTTTGTACAATACCAGGCTACATGGAATGTCAAAAGGATTGTGACTCATGGTTTTTCTGTCCGTTAAAGGTTTTACGAATTCCCGTCTTCATTTACATTCGCATCATTGAAAGTGAATTATAATTCCATTTGGTAACTACCTTTTTTTTTATTCTGCCAGCGCATGAATTGACCAGGTCTTATTCAGATAAAAGTGAATTCACGACCTTGATCAATTTTTAGAGATTGTTTGTCTTCTCTCCAATTACTTCATCGACACTATTTGCGTACAATAAATTAATAATAATTAATTTTTGTGCCCATTTCAGTTGTGTCCTGTACGGTTTCCTGTGTTGACCAAATAGGAGCTGTCTCCATAATTTTCTGTATTATCATGACTAGTTTTTGGTTTCAGTATCGTGTTTCTAACTTGTTATATCGCCCGTGTAGGCGACAGATTCTGTAACCTGCTATTTTAACACGGGCTCTTTTATTCAACCCGATCCACCAAGCACCGTTACATTGCGGAAATGTTGTTCTTAGTATCGCAACTTTAACGACGAATTTTAACTCTAGTCGGAGTTCCCTAACTTGAATCTCCTAAATGCAACAAATTATGCTTGAAGTAGAGGCAATTTGAATTAAGGAAAATTTGTGTTGTACGTCAAACTTTTTAATACATCTACTGTTCGGTGTCGATGTGTTCAATATATGTATATTCTTTTTTATAATTAATTTAGTTTATATTTTTTTTGTATATATATCTATATCGTGTAATTCTATGTAAGTTGAAATTGTGTTGCAAACAGCTTTGGGCCTCTTTATTACACCCTTCAGGTAGGTACCAAATGTTGGGAAAGTCCGAGTTCCCAACTACGTCACGCCGGACTTTCTCTGGGTACCTGNCTGTTCGGTGTCGATGTGTTCATATTTGTTTATATTTTTTATAGTTATTTTAGTTTGTATTTTTTTTGTATATAACTGTATATCATATCTATTACTTGTAATTCTATATAACTTCAAATTTTGTGTTGCAAACAGCTTTGGGCCTCTTTATTACACCCTTCAGGTAGGTACCAAATGTTGGGAAAGTCCGAGTTCCCAACTACGTCACGCCGGACTTTCTCTGGGTACCTGAAGGGTGCATAGCAACAATAGTAGCGTTGACCAAGGGGTCTGTTTACTTAGAGGCGTGTCCTATTTGTGCAGACTATTTAAGTCTCGGACCACAGTTCAAATTATTCATTATTATTCATTCATATTCAATTACAATTTAAAACCAACGTATTCATTACAATTATTCAAATTCAAACAAACTGAAAATTAATATTCAAACATTATTACAATTTACTCAACTTTACAATTCAGCTTCATCAAATCAATTTATATGAAAATCAAACAATTGGTGTAAATAGTGTAAATAAAGTGCAAAAAGAAAAGCAGTCTATTAATTTGAAGTATATCACCAAAAGAGCCTTCGGCGGGATACCGCCACATACAACATCAACAACAATTAAAACAAACACATCAAACATCTACAGCTTTGAAATTCTTCCTTTTTCTAAAAAATTCCTTTGACTACGCTCTACAGTCTATACTGTTCCATGTTAATCATTTTTTTTTGCAGTAAACCTACTGGAATAAAAATACTTATCAAACAGCTGCTTTCGTTCTTAAAGGTATTAGTCAAAAGAAGATCAAACACTGGAATTTTAATGATTACTTTGTGTAGGTACTGCTGGAAATTTTCAAGGAACTGTGATCACACACGACTCACTTGTTGTACTTTTTCATTAAGTAATTTAGTATTAATACTTAATATTCAAAACAAATTAAATAAATCTATTTGATGATGTAGAGAATTTGTTGATTTTTATGACAGAATAATTTATTCATGACATTTTGTTACGTCAGTTTTTTCTCAACGTTAGTACCTGGTGAAAATCATTCACAATTTATCAGTTTACTTGTATCTATATTTATAGTGGGATTCAAAGGTCAAATATGTCAACAGGGTCACAAATTATAAAACTGTTTTAACTTTATGGTGTATTAACATTATATGAGCCCTGCTCCAACTAAGGAAATATTTTCCTTTTGAGAAATCCCTGTGTTAAAAGGATCTGTTTGTATTATAAGTTAGTGTAATTTGTAACAATTCGGAAATTGCCTTAAATATTATCTGAAGTATTGCTTTTACAACTAATAAAACGTCAAATACGTATGATTATTGTTTTCAAAATGGTTCACTCAATAGTGTTTTCACATTTCATTTGTTTTGATCGTGTATCTGCCAACTTGAAAGTAAATACAACTGGTAACGTCTTAACAGCATTAGAGGTCCAAAATAAAACAGTTTTCATAACGATGGTAAAAATCCATAAACTATGTATTTGGAGCAACTGAACCAACTCCATTGAGACAATAGGGCTTATACATACCCAGAATCAGGAAATGGAACATTTTCGTTACTTTTTTATTAGTCAACATTAATCAGTCCCACCTTTATTTCTCTATTTTATTGAAATGTAACTCAAATATTATTTTCAGTTTTTTAATTATCGTATGCGTAAGGTTTCTGGTGAAATTTCGCACCGCGTTCACGAGAAATTCGACAAGCAGCTAACCGAAAGGTAAACTTTGCTCGAAGCAGTTTCAAACGAACACGAGTGAAGTTGTTGTCCTTGATCCGCGAACTAACTCGCCTGAGACCCCTGTTTGAACTCTCATATATATTTTACGACCGAGGGAGAACATTAAAACCTAATAACGTTATTGTTTACTACTCTAGTCGAATGGATTTCGAAGAATACCATTGTCGACGTTTCGAAGGGTGTCGTAAAAACAATGGCAAAAAGTATAAATATTTTCCATTCTTATAAATCGAAATGCGAGATAATACGTACGCATAAGGGCATTACGAGAGAAATAGTTATAGGTTGCAATTATTAAAATTTGTCAATTTTTGAATTCCTGTCAAAACGCATTTTCATTTAGATAAGAAAAATTGGCATTGTTCCTATTCTGTGCTACCTAAAAAACTAATTTAGATTTGAACATATCAGTCCTTAAAACTGAAACCGGGACTAGTTAGTTTTACACATTCACCAATTGATTAACCTTTTGATAGAAAAGGTACCTATGTCGAAAATGTTAACTAACATAACGTCAAATAACGAGAATTTCGGTCATATGCATGTAGAAGGTGTTAGTACTAACAAAAATTAAAAAATACAATTATCATGATGAACTGAGAAAAGGTTAGAAGCGTTCGAAATGTGGTGTTACAGGCGAATGATGAGGATACCGTGGATGGAGAAGGTTAGAAATCAAGAGGTATTAGAAAGGATAGAAGAACAGAGAACTCTATCAAAATCAATAAGAAATAGGCGAGGTAGGTTGGTAGGACATATTAGAGATAGAAACAGGAGTTAAGAGGAGTAGAGGTAGACCTAGATTAGATTACTGTTCGCAGATAGTTAAGGATTAGCTCAGTATGGGAAAGAATGGAGGTGCGAGTCCAACCAGTCTTAGGACTGACGACCTTATGATTATGATAGACTGAACATCACTAGGCGATAGATACTGACGGTACTTTTTATACATCGGAAAGTAGTAGCTTCAAGTTCTACCATCTCCTATGGTGGAAAGACTTCTGTAAAAGCCTTGCCACTCATACAAGCGAAACAATAGGAAACAATGCTATAGATTTGGAATCCCCAGTTCCCAGAAGCCAAATTCTTATCTTTTTTTTATAATAAACTGCATTGAATGATGATTTACAGTTTGTACCTACAATTATTTTAATTGTTCACTGTCACTTCTTGTATTGAAGATGTTGCCTTTCTTTTCCTTCCAGATAATGGACGCGGACAGTAGTTACGGAGGGAGTGATACAGCCCATGATGGGACCTTAGGTCAAGATAGTAATTCAATGGACACATCTCATAGTAATCCATCCCACGATCCCACCAACACAAATTCACGCAGCTCACCTGATTCGAGTAATTATTACAAAAATGAAATATCGCTCCCCGTCAATTGCGACGAGGGCGATTTTCAAAAAAACGGAAAAACACCAACGTTACCCCAGTACCTTTCCACAGCCAACTTCAACATCGACGCGACGTTAGAGAACCACAATAATTTAGAAGAACTGAACAAAAAATATCGAAGCTCGCAGAGATTAAACGAAACCCCGAAGTCAAGTAAAAAAGATAAGGCCGGTCTGGATAATCCCGCTTATCTCGATGACGAAAACGTTAAAGTCAATAATGATGACACGATGGGTTATAGAAACGGTAACTTGAACAGTTCGCCGAAATTGGGACACGAAGATGAACCTCAAGCCGAAGCTGTGAATCTAGAATTAATTAATTTAAAACCAAATGGCAAAGATGTCACTGGGCCGTACGAAAATGGTAAAGGTATTAGTGGAATTCCTGTTAAAAAGGATAATTTTGAAAGCGGTACGCCGTACGACGAATATTTCGTTCCGGTTAATGAACATCGAAAATATATGAGGTAAGATTAATTATCACGTTAGTTTTAATTGTTACAAATTCCTTTCTCCTAACAGCAAAAGTACCACGGTATTAAATACTTTTACTGGCAATTGTTGCCATTCTTGCAACAACTGCTTGTTTAATATTTTATTTGAGCGACTAATTATTTATTACTACTACCACTATTACTTTTTGACACCAAATTTCTTTATTGGTATTAATTATATTGTAATATTAGTATATAATCTCGATTTTGCTTCGAAGATTATCTATAGAAGTGTGTTAGAATCTAAGCCAGATAAGATAAAAAGGTTTTCCATTGCAAAATCGATCACCGATGTATTGCCTTGGATATAAGGATTTTTCAATGTATTAGGTAAAAGTTTCTGCCCTCAGTACATGTCAAAATGCCCTCAGTACATGTCAAAAATCTTTAGTCCTAACTAGGATCATTAAGATAGAACTAAAGTGTCTAATTTTTTAATTTAAACATACACTTTATAAATACAGTCCTTCTTTATTGAGATGAAAAGAAGTTTTTTCTATCCCTTGAGAACAATATTTCTTTTAGATAAAAAGTGCCGTATATCCTGTTCTGTACATATGACAATGTGTCTATAAATTTTCAAGGTGATTGATTGAATAGTTGAGGCATGAAATCGACCACATAAAACTAATATTTCTATCATTCGGGAACAGTATTTTTTTTCTGGATAAAAAGTACCCTATCTCCTCTTCCGTACAATGGACAATGCGTCCATAAAATTTCATGATAATCGGTTGACTAGTTAAGACGTAAAATTGTAATAAACAAACAAACTATTTATTAATGTTTTAACAACAAAACCTACTTCGAAAAAGCTTTATATCTAAGGCGAAACGTCGGTTGTTGGTTTTACAATAAAAAATCCTTTTTGTCTATAACTAGCTTTGATTCTACACTTCATCGAAAATAAAATTAGAAAAGAAATGAAACTAGATTTTATATATAAACATATTAGGTATGTAAACTTTTAAAATTTATTATTAGGCGGGAAGGTCCGACGATTCAGAAGAAAAATACAATAACTTTAAATATAATTTTAAATGACGGATGCACTTTTGTTATTTTCAATAATTTAGAGGCTAACCAGAGCTTTACTTAATTTGTTCAGCATGAAACGGTAATATTTAGCAAATAAAAAATGTAAATGGAGAAATTTAGCCTGGTATAATTGCTATGGTGGTGATATCTCTTTATCGATAAAGGAGAAGTAGTTATATCACTTTTCAATTCTACTCTAATTAAATTGTAAACAAAAATATTTTAACAAAATGATAATCAAGACGGCTCCTTAAATTTTTTGTATAAACAATTTATTATTTGCTTTACTCATTTGTTCTTATTCGTGACAGTGTTGTAATATTTTATAACAACACTTACCTTGTACACAAAATGATTTTTTTCTATAAAAATTATGTTATTGTTCATGTACCATTAAAAAAACAATGTTAATTACACTCCTCGTAAAAAATATTAATATTCTACTTAGTTGTTTGTAATTATCTAGAAGTCTTATTACTAAATAAAAAGATATACGTTAATTTACTGAATATACATATGTGTACAAGCGTTATTAATACATTTATTAGGTGTTTATAATTTAACAAACAATATCATGTCAAATGTAATTAATAGTAACGTTGTTCTATTTGTATGATAAAATAATATCCCATTTTATAATTCGCGTAAACTGTAACGTAATTTTGTTGCATAATATACACAATCACTGACCACAATAAAACGTTTTCGTACTTGTATAGAAACCTCTTAACAATGCATTATGTCGAATTTGTAAAAATACAGACAATGCCTTTTTACGTCTATACCAGGTAGTAAAGTAGTTTCCTATCAAAAATGGTCCTGAAGATAATTACAACTGTAAGCAAGAACTCTTTTACATTTTCTTTGAGTCATAGTATAGAAATGTAAAAAAGTTGAGACAACTTTTTACTGAAAAGTAAAAGTTGCGTTTGCTGCAAAATTTAATGCTTCAGAAACACTACAACACTGATTAAATACATGTGTTGTGTGGGTTTGTATGTATTGCTACGTGATTTATAATAATACTTATATTGGTCGAGTCATTTTTTTTAGTAGGGGCAGAAATTAATTATTATTATTGAGCAATTAATAATTAAAAAATTACCATTAAATCATTAAGTGATAAGAATAGTAGCCCATCAGATAACTTCCGACAACCTTCACTTGATGTCTGCAAAGTCCTAATCCTGGGAAAGGACTTTTAATCAGGGGTACATATAGATTTTCAAAAATTGTAAAAAATAGGGAAATTAGATAAAACAATCTCTATTCTTATTTTCTGCAACCATTTCGTGATGCCCAATAAAAGTTTTCATTTCCTGATAAAATAATTTTATCCTACTATTAATACAGCAGTTTCCTTGGCATTAGTTTTGTCCCAACTAAAAATGGAAAACAGTTGAAATTCTTCAGTGATTGAACTAACAAGTGCTTAATGTTTAGTTTATGGCGCCTATTTCAAATGAAATGTAGTAAATAGATACGAATCAGTGGCTTCATGCGTAGATTTCTGATTAAATTTCATTCACTTATGGTAGAAATTCCTGCATAATTTACGCATACAGGTTCATCTGATTGTTTATTAAGAAAGAAAATGATGTAGAAAATGCTTGTAATAATTTTTACCAGTTTAATCTTCTTTCGGCTATTTAATCCCTATCATTCACATAAAAATATCCAGGAAATATATTATCTAGGAAGCAGAGAAGATCGTAAGCTAGTATTTATAAAAAACTGACTTTTCAAAATTCCAGAAAGATATCGTCCTCTATATCTATACATATGACGTATAATTAAATTTTATTTGACAAATTGGTAATGACTTTCAGGGCCATTAGGTGCAGTAATGCTATTCTGTTTCGGGTCTTAATTTTGTCTTGTGTTTGAGTTTCTTCCTAATGTTTCGCTACCACGAAAAGCGAGCTTCAATGTTGGATGTGCTCCAAACCCGAAACAAAACAGCGTCAGTTAAATTGCATTTATTTTGATTTGTTCATATTATACTTCAAATGCGGTGGTTGTTCTAAAATACTAATTGTGAAATTGATTAAAAATATTGCCGTAAATCTTCTAAAAAGTGCTTAATTCCGTTTCAATTTCAAATCGCGATGGAACTGGATTAAAAGTGATTGTATTCTTCGTGCAGAATTGAAGATGAGCACTTCAAGAAAAGGATTTTAGTTATTTGTTACGTCCTCCTCTACTCTCTCTTTCAAATTCTTGTAATTCCTTGCCTTTACTCTGCGGATTTGGGCGCTGTAGGCCTTATTTATTCAGTTAGAGATAAGTCGTTGACAAAATCTACAAGGTTTTCCATTGCAAAATCGATCACCGATGTATTGCCTTGGATATAAGGATTTTTCAATGTATTAGGTAAAAGTTTCTGCCCTCAGTACATGTCAAAATGCCCTCAGTACATGTCAAAAATCTTTAGTCCTAACTAGGATCATTAAGATAGAACTAAAGTGTCTAATTTTTTAATTTAAACATACACTTTATAAATACAGTCCTTCTTTATTGAGATGAAAAGAAGTTTTTTCTATCCCTTGAGAACAATATTTCTTTTAGATAAAAAGTGCCGTATATCCTGTTCTGTACATATGACAATGTGTCTATAAATTTTCAAGGTGATTGATTGAATAGTTGAGGCATGAAATCGACCACATAAAACTAATATTTCTATCATTCGGGAACAGTATTTTTTTTCTGGATAAAAAGTACCCTATCTCCTCTTCCGTACAATGGACAATGCGTCCATAAAATTTCATGATAATCGGTTGACTAGTTAAGACGTAAAATTGTAATAAACAAACAAACTATTTATTAATGTTTTAACAACAAAACCTACTTCGAAAAAGCTTTATATCTAAGGCGAAACGTCGGTTGTTGGTTTTACAATAAAAAATCCTTTTTGTCTATAACTAGCTTTGATTCTACACTTCATCGAAAATAAAATTAGAAAAGAAATGAAACTAGATTTTATATATAAACATATTAGGTATGTAAACTTTTAAAATTTATTATTAGGCGGGAAGGTCCGACGATTCAGAAGAAAAATACAATAACTTTAAATATAATTTTAAATGACGGATGCACTTTTGTTATTTTCAATAATTTAGAGGCTAACCAGAGCTTTACTTAATTTGTTCAGCATGAAACGGTAATATTTAGCAAATAAAAAATGTAAATGGAGAAATTTAGCCTGGTATAATTGCTATGGTGGTGATATCTCTTTATCGATAAAGGAGAAGTAGTTATATCACTTTTCAATTCTACTCTAATTAAATTGTAAACAAAAATATTTTAACAAAATGATAATCAAGACGGCTCCTTAAATTTTTTGTATAAACAATTTATTATTTGCTTTACTCATTTGTTCTTATTCGTGACAGTGTTGTAATATTTTATAACAACACTTACCTTGTACACAAAATGATTTTTTTCTATAAAAATTATGTTATTGTTCATGTACCATTAAAAAAACAATGTTAATTACACTCCTCGTAAAAAATATTAATATTCTACTTAGTTGTTTGTAATTATCTAGAAGTCTTATTACTAAATAAAAAGATATACGTTAATTTACTGAATATACATATGTGTACAAGCGTTATTAATACATTTATTAGGTGTTTATAATTTAACAAACAATATCATGTCAAATGTAATTAATAGTAACGTTGTTCTATTTGTATGATAAAATAATATCCCATTTTATAATTCGCGTAAACTGTAACGTAATTTTGTTGCATAATATACACAATCACTGACCACAATAAAACGTTTTCGTACTTGTATAGAAACCTCTTAACAATGCATTATGTCGAATTTGTAAAAATACAGACAATGCCTTTTTACGTCTATACCAGGTAGTAAAGTAGTTTCCTATCAAAAATGGTCCTGAAGATAATTACAACTGTAAGCAAGAACTCTTT